CAGAGAGGACAGGGATTTGAGGAAATACTGTTATTACTTTGCATCCAATGCAATATGTCAGCACAAGGTCCAAAGTGTGAAGATGAGAATGTGTGGGACTATTCACATTTTGAACAAAGCCAATCGAGTCTAAGATAGCATTAAAGGCTGCTCTTAAGCTATCGCCTTCAATGTCAGCATGGATGTTAAAATTCCCCACTATATTGACCTTGTCAGTATTTAACACTAAATCAGATGAGAACTCCAGAAAATCATAAAATTCAGAGTAAGGACCTGGTGGACGATACAAAGTTAGAAAAAGAAGAGGTTTTATTGTCTTACAATTCGGATGAGGGAAACTATGGGTTAAATGTTCAACAGAGTTGTCATAGAGTTGTATTAACTGCCTTTGGGGTAATCAGTAAATCAGACTGGAAAATTGTTTCTACCTCTCTTCCTTGCCCAGAATTCCTGGGTATGTGAAAACTTAAATAACAAGAGGGTTTGCCGTTATTTATGCTCATGTAATTTTCTCATTGCACACAAGTTTCTGGAAGACAACATAAATCATTCAATCACAAATCAATTAATTAACTAACTGACGTTTTGAAGAAAGAAATCATGGCAGGTAGACAGGTTTTCAGGAATGCTGGATAAAACTCACAGATGGCTAGTGATAATCTCGCACTAGTGATTGGTATGAGAGTTGGTAAATAGTCAGATGAACAGGTGAATCAGATGTAGGCTGATTGGAAATGTGGCAGAGCTGACATCTGTGTATTGAATGCTGAATTAAACCAGCAGTAGTGCCAGGAATCATGACACAGGGCACTTTTCACTGAGATAACGCTAGACTATGAACATTTCCATAACACTACATTTTCAATATCGATATATATATATATATATCTTTCTTTCTTTTTTTTAAAAGCATATCCTTTGTTTTCCAGAAACCTAATACCTGACAGGTGTAATTATAAAACCTGAGAACTAACCATTTTGTCCTGAGACCTGAGAATAAGTGTTAGGGAAATATAGAAATATTAATTTATCAAGGAGCGAGACACTGTTTCAACAAAAAGGAAAGATCAATCTTATCTTCATAAGTTTATTCAAAGGCAGAAAGCAGTGTTCTAAGGATCAATAAACAATGTGTGCCCTGACTTGAGGTTGATCAGACTTCATAACAAATGCGGGGAGCCACTCCAACCTTTAGGAGATACGGGTAATAAAACTCTGACATGCAAACCCAACGTAAGAAATTCTGCTTCATGGCATTCAAGATGAAAGGGGTAAATAGGCATAGATCCAGGATTTTTCTAAGGGGGGTGCGCACCTCTGGGTAATGTCAAAAAGTGAAACCAAAAAAATTCTTCGTTACTCTTTATGGGAAAGCATGTGCGTGTGGGGTGGCATTTTATTTCACAAATAGGTGTTTTTCTAAAGTAATCTGATAGGATGGAAGTTATGATTGATGTTGGTTGCAGACTTGTTGGTAAACAAATCCATGCTAGGTAGATTATCTAAAATTGCAGACCAGCGTCCTCACAGAGACGGACTATGTGTTTTCACCCCTCAATTCTTACTTTTCATGATTAAAAAAAGACCTTTGGGGGATCACTATGACACGTGAGTTTATTTTTGGGGGAAATAAAACTGGATAATACTCTTCTGTGGAGTCTTACAGACAAAATGAGAATGTTTTTACCATGATCTGTCAACACCCGGCCGGCAGAAGAGGTAAACAAGGTAAGAGCTGGAAGTTATGAATCATAAATTGATGACAGAAACACATCAGCCTCAGGACCGGATTTTTGCAGTGGGACTGTAAATCTGATACTGTACTGCTGTTGAAGCTCCTCAAAGATTGTTAACACCCAGAATAGCAGTGAGAAATTATAGTTATTGACACCAGATGCTTTTATTAATAAATATAATGCCTAATTCTCATCCCAGGAATATAGACAAATTATAGATTATATCCCAATAAAAAAATCATAAATTTAGTTCAAGGTTACGTAAGTAATATTCCGGTTCCTAAACTTAAAAATACATTTATTGAGGGAATTAATATAATAGACAAAAATGCTAAAACATCTTTTAAGAAAGTGTCAACAAATATCTTATATCCCAATCCAATTAAAAGAAAACTCCAAAATGATATTGTTAGGAATCCAGTTTCTGTGTTTTCCATTTCCACCACCAGGAGGTGCCCTGTCTTCGCTGCCCCTCCCTGCACACCTGCGGCTCATTGGACCATTATCTGGAGGAGTATTTGAGCAGTGGGCTGTCACTACCTCAACGCCAGAGTGTTTGCCAGTTTTGGGTACTCTAGCCAAGCTGAGTTTAACTGAGTCTAACAAGTTTTTTGTCTTTGCTCCCGGCAGGAAGCTTTCCTGTGTTACTGGATTCCTAAACCTTCTCTCCCCTGGAAGGAAATAACCGAGTCACACTGAGCAGGGGAAAACCTCCACACGTTCCGTTCAAGTACCCATCGGAAATCCGAGTGACAGTCCGCTCCATTACTCCTGTGTGTCCAACGTTTGTCTACCTGTCCGCCCTCCAACGTGTGCACAATTCTCTGGATGTACCACACAGACTGGATTCAAGGTCTAACAAGGCCCCCCTCAAAAGTGAGTCCCATTATTGCATAATCTAAGAGCTTCCAAGATTCCGACGGACCATGAACTGACCACTGAACTTACGATCTCACTTCAAGTTCCGGGTCACCAGCTCACTGAACTCCTGTTTAACTCCCTCAATAAATCTGTTAAACTTTTCCCTTGTTCTCTGAGTGGTTTCTCTGCATGTGGGTCAGATTCGTAACCGATCATGACCGATATCTGTGCATTGAGAACCTAATATCTTAAATTTGCTATCCCGCAGAAATACAAAGAGGTTCATTTCAAAACTTTAAATGACATTTATCCTTCCAACCAGCTCATGTGCTCCATATCTAAAGTCCCTGTAGACAAATGTCATCTTTATGAGCAACAAGAGGAATAAACTAAACATCTTTGTTTTTATTATAGTAAAACCCAAAAGTTTTTATTCTCAGTTCATAACTGGTTACTCTCTAAATCCTTAAACATAATTTTAATCTCGGCGTCCGCAATGAAATTTGATATTATTGCCCAAGATAAACAAATAGAATTTATAATTAATATAAATATACACTCACCGGCCACTTTATTAGGTACCCCATGCTAGTAACGGGTTGGACCCCCTTTTGCCTTCAAAACTGCCTCAATTCTTGGTGGCATAGATTCAACAAGGTGCTGGAAGCATTCCTCAGGGAGTTTGGTCCATATTGACACGACGGCATCACACAGTTGCCGCAGATTTGTCGGCTGCACATCCATGATGCGAATCTCCCGTTCCACCACATCCCAAAGATGCTCTATTGGATTGAGATCTGGTGACTGTGGAGGCCATTTGAGTACAGTGAACTCATTGTCATGTTCAAGAACCCGGTCTGAGATGATTCCAGCTTTATGACATGGCGCATTATCCTGCTGAAAGTAGCCATCAGAAGTTGGGTACATTGTGGTCATAAAGGGATGGACATGGTCAGCAACAATACTCAGGTAGGCTGTGGCGTTGCAACGATGCTCAATTGGTACCAAGGGGCCCAAAGAGTGCCAAGAAAATATTCCCCACACCATGACACCACCACCACCAGCCTGAACCGTTGATACAAGGCAGGATGGATCCATGCTTTCATGTTGTAGACGCCAAATTCTGACCCTACCATCCGAATGTCGCAGCAGAAATCGAGACTCATCAGACCAGGCAACGTTTCTCCAATCTTCTATTGTCCAATTTCGATAAGCTTGTGCAAATTGTAGCCTCAGTTTCCTGTTCTTAGCTGAAAGGAGTGGCACCCGGTGTGGTCTTCTGCTGCTGTAGCCCATCTGCCTCAAAGTTCGACGTACTGTGCGTTCAGAGATGCTCTTCTGCCCACCTTGGTTGTAACGGGTGGTTATTTGAGTCACTGTTGCCCTTCTTTTAGCTCCAACCAGTCTGGCCATTCTCCTCTGACCTCTGGCATCAACAAGGCATTTCTGCCCACAGAACTGCCGCTCACTGGATGTTTTTTCTTTTTCGGACCATTCTCTGTAAACCCTAGAGATGGTTGTGCGTGAAAATCCCAGTAGATCAGCACTTTCTGAAATACTCAGACCAGCCCTTCTGGCACCAACAATCATGCCACGTTCAAAGTCACTCAAATCACCTTTCTTCCCCATACTGATGCTCGCTTTGAACTGCAGGAGATTGTCTTGACCATGTCTACATGCCTAAATGCACTGAGTTGCCGCCATGTGATTGGCTGCTTAGAAATTAAGTGTTAACGAGCAGTTGGACAGGTGTACCTAATAAAGTGGCCGGTGAGTGTATAGCTGTCTCTCGCCCGTAGACAGCTGGAGATAGGCACTAGCACCCCTCGCGACCCCACTTGTTATAAAGCGTGTCAGAAAATGGATGGATAAATATTATGGTCAATTTTTTCATACAATGTCGTCTTACTCTAACAACTTTCTTCTTAGATGAAACAACTGTTTTTCCAGAGACCTGACAATTTCTTTCATGGGCCTAGCAGAATTTGTTCTTAAGCATTACAACCTTTTCCCTGAAACATTTTTTTTTCTGAAGCTGACAACTTTTTCCTCTAAGTTGGCAGTTTTTTTGTTTTTTTGTTTTTCTGAGATCTGCCATCTTTTTGTTCTTTAGTTCAGACAAGACATATTTTAGACCTGGCTTTTTCCTGAGATCTGATTACTTTATCTTCACAGGTTTAACTTTTTCTTCTAAGACATGAAACCTTTTTCCCCTAAAATTTGTTTGTCTTAATTGTACACCATGTATGTGTCAGCAGCTTCATGTTTGACACTAGAAGGGACACAGCCTGTAACCACATGGCCGTTTCCAGGTCATTACTAATCCTCTCCAAGCTTCTTTTCTTCTTATTAGCCATCTTACCCACTCCGTTCCTTACTGCACTCACTGTAAAATCCCTCAAAGCTTTATTCCCTGATGCTGTTCCAACTCACACTATTCAGTGAACCTCCACCTAGAACCTATTCTAAATACCATAGTGTTACCACGGCCAGGACAGGTGAAAGGATACCTTAAGACTGGGATGATGTTGGATGGAGAAGAGGCTGGGTTAATTCTGAAAAAAAGGCCAAGAATGTATAATCTCCAACCAAACAGTGGTGAGCAGAAGATCAACAGAAAGTCCTGCATTATGGTTCCACCTGTTCCACGACGTCTGTGTGTGGAGACAATGGAGCGGGAGGAAATTTGAAGAAACTATGGCAAGAGAATGTGGTTGAAAGCAGAGGAAATTCTTCATGATTGAGAGTAAAGGAAACAAGCTATTAAACGCAAGGTACAGACACACCCACACGTAGTGGATTTTTAAAAATCAATTGTTTTTTCTGCTTGTTTTATGTCTTCATTTTGGTTGATGCACTGGTAAATGTTTTTAACATTTTTTCCATTCTGTAATTGTCAGTTTTCCCTATATATATTAGATTTTTATTGACATGTTACAAGCTTAAAGATATACCATTGAAAATTGTTAGTTTGCCGTTAAAACAATCCTTAAATTTGTATCACAATGCTTCTACTATTAAATACTCCTGTTCTGCTGTTTAGCTATTTTTGTCAAGATTCTAAATACTTGAATGCAGGCAGTTAATTTTATGTTATGATATGCTTCCAAAAGAGCTTCACAAGGAGGAGAAGGCTGCAGCTTTTCTCCGTTCAGGCATTTACACTAGAAGCTTGTGGCTTAGTCATCAGTCCATTTTTAGATTTTATTTTAATCAGTTTCTTCACTGTAGGTAATTTCATTCATGTTCAGTTTGTTCAGAGTGTTTGGGGTTGTGAGAAAACTAGACTAGACTGTGGGATTATTGCAGAGAGCCTGTTGGAAAACCACTCTTGCTTGAGAAAAGAATCCAATAGAGGTTGTTAACAGGACTTGGAAGCAGGGGCTCCTTTCTAAACAATGTCAATGTGAAAGTCTTAAATAACAGACCTGTTCTGTTCTGCCCCAACTTACCCAGCAGTTCTTCCATGTCTGATCCTGCATGATTGATTAAAACTCAAGTCAGTCGGCAAAGTTCAATAAGTTCAAACAAGTCTTATAGTTTGTTTTTTATATTTTCATTTCAAAATAATCAGGCCTGGCTCAGAAAGGCCATCCTCGAAAGGCTTGGAGTAGAGCCTCTTATCCTCCACATAAAGAGGAGCCAAGTAAGGTGGCATCTGTTTTGGATGCCCCCTTCATGCCTCCCTCGAGAGGTGTTCAAGGAACATCCTATTGGACAGAGGCCCAGGGGCAGCAAAGAACATGCTGGAAGGACTATGTCTCTCAGTTAGAGTAAAAGGTGCTTAGCAGATGGTTTCTGTTTCTTTGAAAACTGGCTCAGATTTAATTTGTTTAACTATTTCTTTACTAGAAAAAAAGCCAACTAGTTTACCGTTACTTTCTCCAACATATACCCCTTTCCCACTGGCCGAAAAACCTGTTTAAACCCGGGAACAATGGGCTTTTAGTGGCAGTGGGAACAGCTCACTGACGGGTGTCTACCCGGGACAAACGACTCAGCAGTTACCCGGGTTAAAATCGCCTCGTCTCTGATTGGCATACCATGGGAACACCAGAGCCGGGTTGACCCGCTAAACCGCTAAACCTTTCAGCTCAATGTACGGACATCAATACAACACCTCAGCCACATCTGATCTACCATGCAGAAACAACTCTGATAACATTCAATAAACATGGAGCAGCTCTGGTGAGGGGGATTCAGACAAATAAAAGAGTGAAACAATAAAGCACACTGACTACGCCCTGGCTTCCTTTCATGTTGATCTCAGTTGTTTACTTTCCTGATTTCTGTCACACTGATGACACCATCAATGCTAACCCAGTGTGGTAGTGTCACCAGACACGCAGCCACGGGGGGTCAGAGGCCACACAGCTGCCAGCGGGGTGTTAGACCCAGCTTTTTTTGCCAATGGGAATGGAGCCAATTGCCGACTGTTAGCGGTTGACCCATGTTTGAAAAACACGCACTAACCCGCCATTTCTCATAAACTTATAGAAACACTAAGGTAATGCTGAAAAGTTCTCACCACTAGCTCGTGAATAATCTCATCTGATGATGGAGGCAGGCAGGTTAAAACGGATCAGATGGGAACAAGAGGACTCAGTGGTTGAGAGGCAGAACAGGTCATCAGAACCTCTAAGGTAATGGTGAAAGGCTCTCACACTGGCTCATGAATAATCTGGCCCTGATGATTGGAAGCAGGCAGGTTAAATAAAAGTAGGAGTAGGTGGATTAGATGAATGGTAATGAGAAACTGGGTTGAGTTAGGCAGGTGAATGATATTAATTATCCAGCCAGTCACAGCGCCAAGATCATGACAGTATGCCATTGATAAAAACAGAATTGGTAAAGACACTCCAAAGAGTGTCATAAATAGATTAAACATTTTTACATTTTCCAATCTTGCTCACTACATAAAAAGATGAAAAACACTCAAACATTTAAAACTCTTTGGTGACCGATAAAGAACGACTGTTGCAATGGCACCGGGAAGGGTCATCAGTCCACTTCCTCATTGGAGGCTTGTAGAGAGTCCTCCACTGCAGTTCCTGTCCTCTGAGCTTGTCTCCTAACACACTACTAGCTCTAGCTTTTCAGGTCAGTTTATTCTTTAGCTTCACACTTATCTTGTACAATACTTTTGGACCTGTGCTGCACAAGTTCCTCTTTGGGTCCAAGTTACATAAGAGAGAAACACTGTCTATTGCTTAAACAGGCTACAGGTGAACCTCAGGAAATGGGTCTGTCTTGTCAGGCGATCGCTTGTGGAATGCAGATGCAGGAGGTGTCTCTTCCCAGCTATCATTCTCACCTTCCCTAGATCCAGAAAATGACAAATGAGTCTGAAAGACCGGATCCCCAGACCAGTTCTGTCTGGCTGCCTCCACCAGCTTTATTATGGTGACCACGCTGGACCAACGAAATGCCTCTGACAGACCTGGCACCGTACCATCACACACATCCAGACTTAAGGTTTACCTTTAGATCTAAGTCCTTCAACCAACCTGAAACAAATGAATGGTTAAAGTCCAGGCCTCTGTTAAACTTACTAACATGCAAACGAGGTAATTTTATCTCTTTTTTAAAGAGTGTTAGAGCAGGGATACATGTAAAAGCTGCAGGACAGTGTCACTCAAGGCCCGACGTTGCCTACGCCTGCTCTAAAACATTAAGTTTGTGCCACAACTGTGATGCAACTAGGCTGTTTATAACCAACACATTGCCTCTATAAGAGAGCTGAGAGTGCCTCCATCTGCAATTTTTTCTCCACATTTTCCCAGTTTTTCTGTATCATAGTTTTATCTCAGAAAAAGAACCAAGATAATTAACACCATCCCTGCTCGATGGAAAAATTTGGTGGAAAACTGGGAGATGTACAGACCATTGGCCAAGACAAAAGCTTCACTCTTTGCCCAGTTCACCCTCGTGGCAGACAAGATGCAAAAGTTCTCAGTGACATTAAGCAGCATGTCAGCATCTTGTTGATCTTTCATAAAAACAAGCATAGGTAAGCATAGGCGGACAATACCTTATTACTGTTAAAACCGAACCATGACCATTCAAACATATTTGTCGGAGGAGGGCGCATAAAACATCCCAACATACAAGCTAACATCGATCTACACCATACTCTCAATATTACTGTACAACACTTGGGTCTTCGCTATAAAACCAGTGCAGAACCCAAACTCTAGAATGACATGGTTTGACATGGTCAAAAGCCTTTTATTAGGGTGTCTGCAAACCCAAAGAACTGTAGATTCCCAAAACATCCCAAAACAGATGGATATTGTCCACCACTGACCTACTGCAGGCGCATTAGGTTAGGTCTCTTTGGATGGCCTGTTGCAATATTCCTCATATCTTATTTGCCAAGGCTTTGGAGATAATCAGGGAAGGGTCACAGGGCGCCAATTCTTAATTTTCTCCATATTTCCTTTTTACCAGGAGAGTGATAACTATGATATGACAGTGGGACCAAACCAGTGATCAATATATCATTAAAGACATCTAGTAGGTCCCCTGCTACGATGCTACAGTAGGTTTTTGAAGAATTCCACAGTGTTCCCATCGATGCCAGGGGCTCCTGCAGTCCCAGGGTCCAGACCAACTGGACTTTGGTCTCATTGGAAACATGGGACAAACCACTACAAAACTCCTCAACCAGCTCATTATTCCTTTCATATTCACTCTGGAACTAAAAAGAATAAAACTCCTTTGCCCTTTTTCCGATCTGCCTCTGCTCATTTATCTGTTGCCCTTTTGTCTGACAGTGTAGATGGAATCAGCCTCCTCTTTCCACATTTCTTCTTCAAGTTAAAGAAAGAGCTGAAAGATGCATCAATATCTCAGATATTCTGCATCCAAGACCTCACCAACATGCCTTGTTTTTTAGTGTTCAAGAGTCTTGCTAAAACTAATTTGAGAGCTTCAAAATGCTCTCGATTTCACACAATTTCTCTAATTTAACAATTTCCCCTTCCAGATCTTTGATACATCTGGTGATGTCACAAGAAACGTTAAGACACAGCGATTTTATCTGCACTTTGCCATAGTTCCTCCACAGTTGTAGACATGCAAAATTACCCTTCCTCTGTCTAAAAGAAAACTTAATCAAAATGCCATTAAGCATTTTTAGGTAAAATGTACTCATACTCATCATGTCCGGCTTAATCTGGAACTGGCTGGCGGGGGCAGCAGTCCCAGAAGAGACTCACAGATTTCCCTCTCCCCAGACACCCGCTGGAGATTATGCGCTCCCGGGCCCGCTGAGAGACATAGTCCCCCCGCTGTGTCCTGGGTCATTCCCCACTGCCTCCTCCTGCTGAGACGAGCCCAGAACATCTCCCCAGGGAGGTTTCCAAGGGACATTCAAAAAGATGTCCAAGCGACCTCAGCTGACTCCTCACCATGTTGAGGAGCAGCAGCCTCTCTCGTATGACCAAGTTCCTCACCCCATCTCTAAGGAAGTGCCCAGCCACCCTGCAGAGAAAGCTAATTTCAGTCTCTTGTGTCTATGATGTCACTCTTTCTGTCATGATCCAAATTTCATGACCATAGGTTAGGGTCACTTTCCTCAACTCTCTGAAGTGTCTGCATTGTTGCCACAACGAGATGTATATCGTTCTCCCACTTCATTCTCCCCTCACTTGTGAACAGGCTCCCAAGATGCTTGAACTCTTTCACTTGAGGCATGGACTCCCCTCCATCCTGAAGGGGACTATTGTCGTCACATCTGTGCCTAGCCCCTCCCACTTCTCATATCCTTGGG